TATACCTGAACAATGTTCTTAAGCCTTTGAAATCTTTTGTACATATTAGATATTCAGCTTGTCCTCATTTCCCCATTGCTCGCCTTAACACTGCAACTCAAAATTTCATGCATGTATTTACACATGTAAATACATCCATGCAATTGATGTACGTGATCAAATTACTCAGTGATTTCGATGAAGTACACATTTATACAAGATGCACCAGCATTATTGCCAGGACCATAGAGGGTTGACACTTGGGGCTCAGTAAACACAAAAGGCCCTCTCAACAGCACTTTACTTTGAAAGCTGTGGTGTTTTCTTGGAATCAATGGTCAACACACTCTGGCACTGTCACAATTGTTGTGAATGCCATTCAGCCTTATTACCTCTATAATAGACACCTTAGCAGCACTCTGCTACATTCAGAATTTCATAAATGATCATTATATCTCTTAGTCTGATCAGAACAAAAAATGCATGCTCGATTGCGTTAAATAGATTCTCAGATATTTTATATGCATGAAAAATAGTGCTAGGAAGAAAATTATTAGAACTTTATAATAATACATAAAACTTCTTAACACAAAAGTATTTTATGCCGGGGTCCACCACGGCTACAATGACGTATTTCCGTCACGGATATCAGGCTGTAAAGTATATAATAACACATAGCAAAGAAAAAATTCCAGAAGGAAAAAAATTGGCCTAGTATCTGCATGTTAATCTGCAAATGTCGTCGAAAGACGATTGTCTTGCGTCTGGAGAGATTGAACAAAACGTTTATTTGATGTTCTGCGCAAGAAAATCGGGGAATGGTATTCTGGAGGCGCTGCGTTAGAGTGCCTCGAGCACGTAGCGGAGGCGAACGAGCGCACCAAGTCACGTCACACACGAGACACGAGCGCTATCTGACAGTTATCTTGGAAAACAAAACACGCGGCTCTGAGACGGGCGCGCACGTTTTCAGAGGTGATAAGGTGCAGAACGCAAGGCGACGGGTACACGCGCCACCACCGTGTTGTCTTGGCATAGCTTTGGAAACGCTTCCCTTTTCGTGCAAGCGTTGCATGGTCAGCGCCGCGTGATAAATGCTGCGGTCCTTAGAATAACTTATGTATGCTTTTTCTAGTAAAAGACGCACACAGAAAATATATGTGTGTTGTTATGGTGCCTCAGATATGCGCGATAATTGCTTTTTAATTGACAGCCCCGCCGCGGTGGTCTAGTGGCTAAGGTACTCGGCTGCTGACCCGCAGGTCGCGGGTTCAAATCCCGGCTGCGGCGGCTGCATTTCCGATGGAGGCGGAAATGTTGTAGGCCCGTGTGCTCAGATTTGGGTGCACGTTAAAGAACCCCAGGTGGTCGAAATTTCCGGAGCCCTCCACTACGGCGTCTTTCATAATCAAATGGTGGTTTTGGGACGTTAAACTCCACATATCAATCAATCAATCAGCTTTTTAATTGACAATCGCACAAGTATGAAGGCTGAATCTTGAGCAACATTGGTGGGCGCTGTGGATGGGGTCGGCCGTTTGGGGCATCCGCTGGTGCCATTTAAAGTGCCCGCGGTACCGTTAAGGGTGGATAAACAGACAAATGGACAGACAGACAGACATACCAAAACTTTTGCGTCGAAGGTTCCCAAGAAATACTATCGTCTTTAAAAGTCCAGCAACATATGGATTCACAGCGCGCAGCACTAACCATTATGCCACGGAGCATAGCTTGTCGAGGATGCTAAGGGCAAGCCATTTGTATACACCATACACCGTTTGGCGATCCTCAGAGCACTGAAACTTTAGCGCGTTTTCCTTATCAGTAGCGAGATGGCGCGACGGCGCGCTCTGAAGGTCGTCGCCTCCACCAAGCGTGGTTCCTCCTGCGCACACGCTTATATCAGATTTGTAACTTGGGAGAGGACGAAGGTCACTTCTCTCGCTTCCACGGCCGCGTTTATGAAAGGTGCGCGCTGCTGACACACGACGAAGAATTGTGACAGAGTTCGCGCTTGTCCTGTGCGCACCTGTGCGCTCGTATCGTGCGTCTTTCTGTCTGCTTGAACAGCGCGCTTCAAGTGTCGAGCTCTGACAGTTGTTAGTTCACGCTCGTCCTATATATATGCTAATTTCTTGCGTGCTTTCTGCTCGAGGTGCGGGCTTAAAGTTTTGGGCTGCTTACCGTTATTCCCGTGACTTTGCAGTTTGTTGCTGTTGCTAAAGCAATGCACAATGAACGCTCAACAGCCTTTGTGAAGACAAGTTTCACTTTCGCATTATCCTGATTTCTAAATAAGGGAATCATCCATGTTGTTTTGTTGCATAATCAAGCCTCCACTGAAATACAATCTCCAAACTGAACCCGTAATTGCCATACCGTATAAAGACAGTCGTACTTCTGAGCTACTGAACACATTGGGGGCTAGAGATAACAGTGCACTTACAACACATGTACTATGAGCAACATTCGGTGACAATTTGCAAAACAAATGCCAGTAAAAGCAGGAGCCACAGCAGACCTGAGAGGCGTCTGGGCTGGCCTCAAGGCGACTCCGTTGACTGGGCGCCCACAGGCTCTGTTTGTGCACTTCTGTTACATAATGGCGTGATGCTGTGATGGATTCATACAGCACAGAGAAGGCAGCCACTCCCAGACACATGCCGAGCATGCCTGCACAAAGAACAAGCATTCGGAAACAAGCAACCGCAGGTCAGACAATGAGAGGTAAGGTAAGCACAAATCATGCATTCCTCAAGCGCTTTGTAAACAAGTGAGATTGAAATGCAGAACACAAAAAAAGCTGGTCTTACACAAGACCACAAAATTTCCAAATGCGGAGTGCCCACTGAAACTGTCACCGAAATTTCTGACAAAGCCAAAAAGCACGAAGTAATCAATTTAAAAATGAACACAAATTCCGATATTTCATTTGCCTAAACCATGACATGCTTATGAAGGATTTGAAGCAGGTCTTCTGGATTAATTTTCACCTTCTGCATCTATTTGTTGAGCACTTAAATCTAAGTGCACACTCATTTTCACATTTCCACCTCTACTAAAATTAGGTTACTTAATCTGGAATTCAGTGATCCTATTGCTAGTGCTATAGTGCATAAGTCAAAGCAAGGTTATCGATACGACGTTATTCGTTTCACATCGTGAACAATTTTGATGCAAATGAAAGAATTTAAAGTGCAAAATACAGTTAATGTCCATCATGCTTCACATAAAACATGTTGTTAGCAAACATAATTATCAGTGACAGAAAATGTAACAACCCTGTTTGAAAGCAATATATGCATTACTAAACATTATAAAAAGCAGTATGACATCACCTCCAAGAGAGGATGCTGAGAGGCCTCGAAATAGCAGGTTCTCCACATGTGAGCTGAATTCAAAGTATGACTGATGGCCCATGACTTCCATCTGCAGAGAGAGTTTAGATATCCGCAAAATAATTACTTATATAAGAATCATGGCAAATTACAAACTAACCAGCAAATTATAAGGAAATCAACTTCAGAAAAAGCCCAGTACCCAGCAACACAGCAAGTTATTCGAAGCCCATTCGCATAACAGAACATGTCTTTGATCGAGCCATTGAATGATTTGTACCACTGGAGCATTAAACCTGTACTGGTAGATGTTCGCCATGACAGTACTCCAGAATATAGGGGTACAGTGATACCAAAGTGAAGTAGTGCTGTATGTCTTCATTTAGTAGTGCACCTTTCTACATTTTCTATTCCCTTAGACTAATGCTTCTCACTCAGACTTGATAAGTGGGCAAGCCGTGAAAACATGCAATTAAAATTGAAGCAATTAAGAAAAAGTGTGCAGGCAGCAACAGTCGAAACAATAATCTAAATGGCAACAGCAAATTATGAACAGTAGCAGCTTCAAAACTTTGTTGAGCTCAGAATCCATGAAAGAAAAAAAATCATGGCCAGGGCACACAAGTTAACGACAGAGATATTCACCATAACAGGCTTAAGACAAAGGCAAGCCATATCTCGATTGCCATCCTACATGCATGACCTCAGAGGAAATCCCTTTTTTTTTGTTCTTGGGGCTCCTGTTCTCTCATATACGTTTTTAATCCACGGTTATTTGGAAGCTCCGTTGCCGCGTAAAGAAACTACAACTTCACACAAGCGGACCTGAGACAACACACACTTGTCATCAGGTCCGTAGCCAGAGGGGGGCAGGCTAGCACCCCCTCTTGAAATTCGGTGAAGCAGGGTGTTTTGCTGATAATAAATGATGAAAATAGGTGGTTTTCAAGGCCTCCAAATAAGTGGTCTTTTACTTAAAAAAAAAACTCCTGGCTACGCACTTGCTTGTCATACATTGGGATTAGCGGCAAGCATCGGCACTAGCGAGCTGTCAACGTATGGCTCTTCTAAACGCTCGCCGCAACACGCTAATCAGTCTGCCAGCAGGTCCTTCAACGTCTCCGACCTGCATGAAATCCGGTCAAGGACCAGGGAAGCCGGTCGACGAACCCGGACCACGAAAACGCTTCCGCGATGGGACCACTTTCTCCTGCACTACCGGCTTCCGGGTCCAGGAAAGTCAGCGCCTGATGGCCAATGCCGTTTTCCCCGTACAAAAGGACAGCGTCCGCTGACTTTCGTCTCCCTCGTCAACCGACTTACAAGATTCATGTATGATGAAGTAGAGGCGAATACGACCGCTGTGTCAGATAATTACGAGCAGCGTAAGGTAAGAACATAGGAAACCAAGGTGTTAATAGCGGAAAAGCAATTGTCACAGACCATGCCGCATTGTGCTCAAGAATACCAAGGTCGACAAGGCGATCGGAGACGAAAAAAATAAATTAAACCGGGAGAATTGTGCAACGTCTTGCATTTCAGCGCTAATGAAATATTTCAGCTTAGGACAGGCATTTCTGCAACTACGCAGTTGAACAAGCTTGACTTCTTTTCTTTTGGGGCGCGAGCTCACGTCACTCGCTAAAATCAGCAACACAATCAATGAATACTATAATGCAGTAATTAATTTGCATAGCCTAATACAACGAATTACGTCTCTAAAGATCAGACGAGTGTCGTTCTGAGGCACCGTCTTATTCGACATGCATTGTAATGACTTATTAAAGATCATTTCAGAAAAGTAGACGTGTGAAATGAAAGCGAATACAGACGCTCGAGGCCGTTAGTGTGAAGGGAAATCCAGCAGCACAATGCGCCATAAAAGTTGGGCAGCTGACAAACAAACGGAGCGACATCCAGCAAGGACGTCGCGTGTTTTTCGGGGAGCGCGCTTGTCAACAGTCGCGGCGCAACGCACTGCCCAAACAACCGCATTGCAACCTTGGAGACCAAGGGGTTCACGCCCGCTGGCATCGAAGAAAGAAGTTGCAGAGCACAACTCGCAAGCCCAACCTGTGAGTTCCTAGATGTCACTATGATGCAGAACCTAATCAAATTACCTGATCGCACGTGTATGCTTAAAGCAGAGTGTAGCACATGCCAAGACAGTGAGACAAGTAAGGGTGAGCGACGACATCGGAAACACTGTTAAAGCTGGCAACACCGAATACAACTGCCAGAAAAACGAAGCGGGCCTCACCTTCAGCTGACAGTGGTCGACGCTCGCCGTCAGTGAGCTCAACTGCTGGCGCGGTGTGTGCGACAGAGCTAAACTTGGCATACGCTAGTAGAAAAGCAAAAGTGAAGAGAAAGCCGGTTGCAATCCAGTTTTCACTTTCTCGAAGCTGCCCGTACAGCGCGGTGCGCCCGCGCGTAAGCCGTCCGGATCGGGCGTCCTTCGCTGCGCCGGCGCCGTTACCAGGGTTGCCACAGTTGCCATGCCACAGACGACGCTAACAATGCGCTGGCGCTTGTAGCGCCATCTCTCCGCATTTAAAATAACTGCAGGCTTTTTCCGTTTTCACACCGCGGCTTATTCAAACGCCCTCGTTGGGTAAAACGCCCTCGTTGGGTAAACCAATAAATGCGCCTTTTAAAGTAAAACAAGTCAACTAAGCGCCGAGATGAAACCAGGAAGTAGACCTACGATTGCGTTACTTCATATATCTATCACAACTATCTTTGCAATTTCTCATTTCCTTCGACGCAGGCCAGCCGCAAGAGATAACGCTCGCATGCTTTTGGCATCATCGGATGTGCTTACCAACCAGTGAACTTTTTGTAAAGGCATAAGGACTACGCATTCGATAATTGTAAAAAAAAAAGGGGGGGGGACGACGACGGAGGAGCTATAACGCAATACACAGATTGCTGTATACATTTACACTAGTTATTACATATGATATTCCTACCTTTAGACCGGGTTTCTCAAAGTAGTTTCCGTTGGCCCCTTCAGGGTTTTGCGAGCACTGAAAATTTCTCTCTGGTTACTCACTCGCCAAGTCACTTAGATGGTGAAACCAACGTATCATGAATCTAAGAAATATACATTTTAATGCGCCAAGTCATTTAGATGGTGAAACCAACATATGGTGAATCTAAGAGTTATAAATTTTAATGAAGAGCAGGAGATGTTTACCCATCTTTTCACCTGACATGCTACTCGATGTGATCATTATGATATATACACTAATAGACAGATAGCACACAAACCCACACACGCGTAGACCGAACTATTTGTTTCTTTCAGGCTCGTGGTCCGCAAGAAAGTCAATGGCATTTTTTGTGGTGCGTAACGCACCGATACCGATTTTCCATGGGCCTAGAATGTGTCCCAGTTCGAAGTTAGAGTCCCATTGGAGATTTAAGGTCGCCTTCAGAGATTGTCTCTCTTGTGCATATATTCTGTATTCACTGAGGATATGATCTTCTGGGACGCAACATTGAACGCACAATGGTGAGTCCGACATTCCAATCTTGTCTCTAAAGTTGGTGTATTCATACTGATGCGGTGAATGCACGTTTCCTCTGCCCTGGTCTATCGATGTCACACGACGGATCGATCTTGTAAAGGGGCCCATCCACTAGCAGGGTTGCAGACTTCAAAAGAAGCCATAACTCAATAAAGTATCCAAGTAGCCATACCACTAAATATCAGCGCCAAATTTTTATAGCCAACTAAAGAAAAGGGTCCTTGGTGATTAAGATACGGCCTACTGCGAATTATGTCTAGGTGTTTTGATTTTCCGAAAAGTAGAGAAAACAATTTGAGAGAGAGAGAGAGAGAGAGAGATGTATTTGCCCAACTCTATTTTCCACAAATGCCTCTCTAGGAAACACAATTCTGCCATTCTTTTGTTGCAATGAATGAAGGTTTGTGGTCTGAGAAATGAATGGAGATATGTTCGACTTGCTATACGAGTGCTTGGTTCTCAAAAACGAGATCTATGCAAGTCCTTCGCGAGGTTGTCACATCAATGGATTAGTTACCATGGAGATGAACGGGCTGCTCTCGCGCATAAGTGGTAGGAAAGTCTTGCATGTTTTTATGTGTTTACTAAAGTCACTTACAACTATCATTGGTGTGGATCGATGCGCAAGCGACGCGAAATAAGTGAACGACGTTCTCAGGCTGCAACTGTATAGAAGGATATTGTGCACGGGTACAATATCCTCCTCTTTCACTAACAGCGAACCTTCAATACGGGTTGCATGATGATAGATGGTAGCGCAGACAACGAACACGGACAAGAGAAGGCACATAGACACAACACAGCGCTAACTTTCAACAACAGTTTATTACACGCAGATCTCCGTGGTGTATGCGATCCACCAAGATCTGCGTGTAATAAACTGTTGTTGAAAGTTAGCGCTGTGTTGTGTCTATGTGCCTTCTCTTGTCCGTGTTCGTTGTCTGCGCTACCATCTATCATCATGCAACCATACCAACAAGCCCAAGTCGCCACCCTCATTGACTTCAATACGGGACTATGCTAATAGTATCATGCACAACTGCACCCTGCACCACGTCACTTTTTAATGATTTTTTATAGGAGGGAGGGGGAGGCAGGACCCTGTGTACTCGACCCATCTCCTGACTTTTGTCCTCCTGGTTCTTTCTCATTTGCCAAGGGCCGCATATAGTTGACGCGATCTTTTAGACAGTTCGATAGCTTGACTTTCACGGCTATAGCTTGTTGCATCACCTCCCCACTACTCATTACGAAGCTTTTGTCATTGATGTGCACCCATTTTTCAGGAGGCTCTACAGCGCTTATGAAAATGAAGTTCAACTGCATGTACATCGTTCCCAAATATTTGCTAAAGCAAGCGTGCCTTGCGGCCTCGCGGTGACATATCTGCCCGAAACCCAATAAAGTCACGTCGCGCTAGCGTCATCCAAAATACTTCAGGGGAAAACAGGCACAGAAATGCGTGCCATGAGTATGGCATAAAAAGTTTACCACTCACAAATTGGCGTTGTGGAATGTGAGAGAAGTTGTTCGGCCCGATTATATGGAACCACATAACACGCTATTTTTCGTCATCTTTCTCCGGTGGAGTTAGAAAAAAAAACTTTGGCTTTGTATGTATACGCTGTAGCCCCACATGCAGCAACCAAGCACTAAAGCGAAGATGTTTAAACACTGTGAAAATATTCAAGTACATAAGCTTGATAACGAACGTGTCATTAGTTCTCTGCAACGTCTATACACTCCGACCCACACTTGAAAGCCCTATGGCAGCTGTAATCCACGTGTTCTGAGCGAGTTAACTACAAATGTGGGACGTGACGTCAGTTCCTGTCTTCAGCTTTTACATCCGCCATCACTGAGCACATATGTAGCGGTACCAGCAGCGCTGTGTGTATACGTCCGTACGACAGATCGTTTTCTCCTTTGTGCGCATGCCTTAAACCATTTGCCTTGCGAAACATATTGAGAACAGCTCATTATACACGATTCGATAAACGTGTGGGACCAGTATGGGCCAGATACAAAATAACTTAATTGCCCTGTGTCGTGGAGTGGATTCCTTTCAAGTACCAGCTGATGTGCACGCTGATGAAAGCGCTTGCCAGTGGTCACCAATGTTGACACTACAAATTATCTGATGTTGTCAATAAGTTTTCCTTCGTTAAACAGGACGACGGCTCACAAATTGTTTTGCTCACAACTACTTTGCAGGCGGATGCAAATTATGAAACGTGTAAGAGGAGTCTGAAATCACACCACAAGAAAGGGACAATCAAGAATGATGTGTAGCTGGTATAGGGACATCAGTTTTAAGATGTCAACATATTCTTCGGCGTCTGCGGCTAAATATCTGAATGAGCAGCACAACATGATGACCACATCGTTAACCCCTGCAGCGTGTTCTTTCAAATTGACACTTGTCTCCCACAAACTTAAGTGTGGTTCACGTTCAATATTCACGAATCAAAGTGAATAAATATGCTAAAATTACTCTAAACTTAGTCGTTCTTCAAGATTAATTATTTTCACTTACTCCTAATTCACCAGTGCATAGGTTGGCGAAAAAAAATGGAGCTCGCCCAGACTCTCTCAACCAATACACTTTGCTCTTAAGGCTCACATTCATGAATAAGTTTCTGTCAGCTGCAGACTCACTCGTGCTCAAACTCGCCAAAATATCACTCACCCGAACTCGTTCAGACTCATGATGCGATCTTAGTTTGAGAGTCTAAGTGAGTTTAGTCATGAATTTACTGAATTATACACTAAATTAACAGCTCCTAAACCTCAACTTCGCTTTCCCGCACTCGCATCTCGTCGTATACGACAGCGCGCATCTGCCCTCTCCGCAAGTTATTTCATTTTTTTCAGCGCCCAACAACGGTTTCATCGCGTATACTGGATAAGTCACCATATTGATGTTTTTTCTCCCCAATTCAGTGCAACAACTCATCAAAAGGAATTTATCAAAAATAATTATTTTACGTAGTAACCACCACTGAAACGACCTTCCTGCCCGCATCTCCACGATAATTGCTCGCGTGCGGTTCAAGTCAGTCACCCATTAGCACTTTGCCATGTAATGCTCTACTCCTGCCACTCTCTCGTATAATGCCTTTCATACAGGCCTTAAAGGTAATCTAAATAAATAAATAAATGAATAAATAAATAAATAAAAAAAATTCATGAGCAATGAACGTTGATTTGCGATGCATATGGTGTCTTTTACCACTGGTCTGGAGTGAGAAAATACTACTCTAAAAACCTATAGTGCAAAGAAAGGTATGTATATATCTGCTGAATAGTATAAATTAAACTGCATGCGGTATCCTTGAAGCACAGATCTTTCGCCAACATAAATGCAGTCTTATTGTTACTGCAGTGTAAATAATCCACTGGCAGTGCTAACGGAGGAACTTTTGACTACAGTGTTTATGTAGCACTGTGGTGACTACATATTTTTTTATAATCCACTTTACTTTCCACCCGCCATGGTGGTGTAGTAATTGTGGTACATGACTGCTGACCCGTAGGTCCCGGATCAAACTTCCGCCGAGGCAACCGCATTTTTGACGGAGGCTCAAATGCTTGGTGTCCATGTACTTAGATTTAGGTGCCCGTTAAAGAACCCCAGCTGGTCCGAATTTCAGGAGCACCCCACTGCGGCGGCTCTCTTAATCATATGGTGGTTTTGGGACGTTAGACCTAAAAAATAATTAATAATTAATTCACTTTCTGTTGTTCGCCCGGTGTCATGGGCTACGATAACCATGGTTCTTGCTGTAATCAGCTGTTTGGCTCAATGAACGAAGCGGAATGCGCAGCTGATATACGAAATAAGGCAGTACAGGTATGCCAACTGTTACCTTTTTTTGAACAAAAGCCCTGCCATGTGACGAATACTCACCACTCGTATAGCTGAGCTTGCT